GTGCTTTGAAGATGCTCCAAAGTGTGTGGTTTTTTTAAAACCAAGAAACTACTGGGCATCTGCTCAAGAAGGAAATGAGAGAGAGAGAGATTAGAGGAGCATCTTTATTAACTGAGATGGGATAAGCAAACAAGCTGGGAAATTGGCAGTTTTACTTCATCTTAACAAAGCAGTTAGACCAGGGAAAAAAATAATGTCAGCCCAGTGGGGCTGTCACTTGGTGGAGTGTCTTACACACGTCTTTGCAGTGAAATCCAGGCAGGGTTCCAGCTGCTGAGCACAAGGCTGAGCGTGGAAGCTCTGCTAGAAGCGTTAGTGAACGTACCGCCGTCGGCTGGAGCCAGTTTGCTGGACCTGCTTCTAAGAGTTTAGATGGTGACCTCTCTTCTGCCATCTCCCATCACTTTTCCCTCTCTGAAACTTATTCGTGGGTGTGACTTGGCCTGTGGCATCATATTCAATTGAGTGCCTAAAAGCAAACAAACACAAACCTATCCTGGGAGTTATCTGAAGAATTAGTTTGTACTCTGGTTTGCCTGTCAATAAAAACTGCTGAGTGCTGTCTCCTTGGATTCCCTAAAGAGGTTTCTTTCCTTAATTAGTAGTTAAGCATTGATAGACAGGTTTTGGTCTAACCTCTCGTCAGACCTTCACCAGAGTGCTGCCTGACAGCTATTCCTCCAGCTGCTCTGGGGATACGGTTGATCTGACAAAGCCACATTTATAAAAATTCTCTTATTTTTTTAAGCAAGACACATGTGAATCAGGGCTTTGGTTTGCTTTAGGGTGCCTACAGCAGTGTTTGGAAAGGTGCTGCTGGTTTTGTGGTCTTCTATGACATTTAGTTCCATTTTCCAGTGAGTCATCATCTTACTGGTGATTATGGGTCGTGGATTTTGGTGTTTCCTGAATAGGAAAGTAAAACTTTACTGTTCTTGTCACTTTTCCTTTCATTGAAAGCAGCCTGAACGAGCTGTTGCTGAGTGTGCTGCTTTGTGCTTGCTGCCATAGTCTTCACTTACAAGGGTGTCCTGGGACATCTCAGAAATGGCTACACCTAATTTTTCATATTTGTGTACTTTAAACATAAAATGATAAATTGAGGACGGCATCTTGAATGTGAGCAGCTCACAACACAGGAAATAAGGGGTGCTTCACTTGGCACATTTGGAGTTGGTTCCAGGTAGATGGTGTTTTCTTACAAGTCTTTGAAACAACGGTGAACTTGGAGGGAGGGGAGAGCAGAAGGAAGCAAACTTCTGAGCTTTACACTATTTGGTAACTCTGGTCGTTGTGACTGTATGAGCTTTGGTTTATCTAGATTATAGAACTATTGTTTGTTCATTAGTCATATGTAGTTGTGTAAACCTTTTTTTCCCTGTACTCCTGTGTGCTCCAGCTTTGTAAGTCTGTAAAGAAAATGCTTTAGTATTGACTAGTATGGGCAGTTTCCAAACGAAACCCACTGTTTTAGAGTCTAGACTGAGCATGACTCAATTAATATGAGTAAGTCTGACTTTATAACCTAAATTCTGCTTAATTGAGGGAAAATGTGTGGTCCCAGTTCAAATTTTTTTAAGACTGGAATTATTTCCTTTTTTTTTAGTTTGTACATAGAACATTTGGGCCATGGATTATCCCACCTGCACTGCATGCAGACCATGAAATTCTGCTGGTAGAACCGATTTCTGTGGTGTAGCTTTAGCTCAGCGGCTGCAGAAGGTTAAAAAGAAGCTTGTACTGCACACGGTGGTTTGACATTCAGGTTTCTATGGTGTGAATAAACCCTCTGGTGTCGGTGATTTGGGGCATTTTGCAGGTTCAGGTGTGATACCCATCAGTCAGGTTCTTTCTTAAACTGAGCCAAAGCTTTGGAAGGAGGCAGCATGGGATCCTTGGGGAAGCTTCTCTCTGAAGTGCTCCAGTTCCAGCACGATGTTGAAAAGATGCAAAGCAGCTGCACATACTGATCTACCAGAGAACTGATATTGTGTGGAAATGAGGGGCTTTGGGTTTGTAAAAAGGACAACACACAGTCATTTGCATTAGCAAACTTGTGAGATGTATTTACTGTTGAATTTTTGTTTCTTTTCTGGAAATGGGGAGATGCTGCTGAAGTGAGAATGGAATGAGGTGCACACTACCCATTTCTCTTCAACTGAGGGCTTGCCTCAGCCTCGCATGTCTGGCTTCCCTCTGTGGTTTCCCTCCACAGCCTGGCTCTATGACTGACTGTCTTTTGACCTCTTCATCTCTCTCCCCTCCTCCTCCTCCTCCTCCTCCTCCTCTCGGGAGCCTGCTCTTAGCTTACATGGCACAGCCCTAACCTGGGGCCCTTGGTTTAAGTATCCTGAAGTAAAGCAAAGACACAAATTCTGTTCTATCCAAACTACTTCTCCCTGGTAACTTTTTTCCCCAAGTGTGGTTGATGCGGTTTGTCAAACCAGTCTCTGAAGTTGAAGGTATTTTCTGCATGATTGTTACTGGAACTATAATTTTCTTTAAAAATCAGCTTATCCTTGAATGCCTGAATCCTGGCCCCCCAAAAAACCAAACCCAAAAAACACTAAACCCAACCAGCTGAAAAAAAAAAAAAAACCCTAAAGAGCATATTCTGAATAGACCAGTATAGTCTGTCAGAGGCCCAGCAAGCACGAGGGTGCTGTACGGAGCGTGGCAGGCTGCGTCTCAGCAGCGTAGGAGTAAGGCAGCCTGTTCTGGGAATTAAGCAAATCAGTTGCCTGGAGTATTTTTCACTAGCTCAGGGCCAAGTGTGTAGTTTCAACTGGATTTATGCTGTTGACTGGCAGGGTATAAGGTAGATTCAAGTCTTAACATGGTATTGCTACAGAAGGAAGAGGTCAAACATATTGCTTAATCTGCTGTAAAGTTAAGGCACAGACTATCAAATGAGACTGTTATTTTATGCTATTACATTTTCCTTTAATATCATAGAAACATAGAATGGTTTGGGTTGGAAGGGACCTAAAAGATCATCCAGTTCCAATCCCCCTGCCAGCAGCAGGGACACCTTCCACTAGACCAGGTTGCTCAAAGCCTCATCCAGCCTGGCCTTCAACACTTCCAGGGAGGAGCAGCCACAGCTTCTCTGCCCAACCTGTTCCAGTGTCTCACCTCCCTCACGGTGAAGAACTTCTTCCTAATATCTAATCTAAACCTCCCCTCTTTCAGCTTAAACCCATTTCCCCTTGTTTTGTCATTAACTGCCCTTATGAAAAGTCCCTCCCCAGCTTTCTTGTAGCCCCTTCAGGTATTGGAAGGCTGCTATAAGGCTGCTATATCATCTCACGTTCTGTGAGAAGTCTTAGGTCCAAGCATAAATCAAGTATATCTTTTATAGCTTCTTTAAATCCCTTTAAGGCCCTCCTCCAGTTCTTGCTTTCATGGACTTTTCTTTCTTATCTGTAGCTTATTTTTACTTGGTAAGGTTCAAATGAGATCTAGCAAATGCCAGATTTGAAGACAAGGATAATTAGCTGGCAACCAGGAGCTGTTGGTCTGACTGAGCCACCCCTCTGTATTAAGAGCCTGGCACTGAGGAACATCTGACTTTGCATGTCCTAAAACATCCCTTAGTGGAGCAGCTACGAGAATTAGTCCAGGTTACTTCATGATATAAATGTAAGGGACAAATCTTGCAGGCTTTGTTTGAATTGGAACACAATGCTGTGGAAAAAAAGGAGACAGCAGGAAATGTGCGAGAGGAGCTATGTGCTAAATTCACCTTCACACACACTGGTTTTAGTTTATTCTCATACTGTGTTTGTATTCTTTAAAAAGATGTTCTGTGTCACGGGTGTCCTCTCTCTAACCGTGAAATCCAGCTTTCTCATGAACATTTGGAATAAAGCGAAAAAAATTTCCCTACCTGAGACCTCCTGCAGTGCACGTCTGCGGTTTGTAAATATCTCGTGAGGGTGTAAGTGTGCATCGTGCTGCTGTGACTGTTCTCCTGATTTTTTCCAAAGTATGACAAGACTCAGTGTGAGCTCAAGACAGTAAACAGCAGCAGTGCTGCTGACCGAGTTGTAAGTCACAACTTTCCTTCCTTGTGGAAGGCAGATCTGAGTCTCTGCCTGCTGCAGTGCTGGTTGTGTGGATGATGTGTGGTTCTAAAGGTGGGTTTAATGAACAGATCAGGAAAGAGCCCATAAAGACAGCATCTGAATAATCATCCTTTCTTTGGGGAAAGCACTGGCACTTCAAACACCGTTCTTGGAAAGATGTGTGTGTATCTCAGACAGGGGCACAGCTGGAAGAGCACATGAATTGTGGTAAGAGCCAGAACACGAGGTCAGTTTCCTTTGGATGGGTTCTAGATGAGTTTCAACAGCAAACTTAATGCAGTCATCTGCAAAGGTGGGCTCGTCTTGGGTTTATAGATCCTTTAAAACCTCTGTAACCAAGAAAACCTGACATGAGAAAATCCTGGCATCTCCTCCTTGTATTCATGGGATAGTGCACAGCAAGTATCACCTTACTGCACTTGTCCCTCACCATTCAGTACATCTCCTGTCCCTGGTTAGGTGGATTTTTAACTGTAGAGACACATGGATATGCAGCTGTTTGACCACACAGCCCTAAAAGACCAAAGTGCTGACCTGCCACCCTTCCTCCAAAGCCCTCACCGAACCCCCGGCCCAGGAACATGGGTTGGGTTGAGAGTCTAGTTTGAGGGTGTTAAAAACAGAGCATGAGGAAAACTCTAGTGATTGCAACAAACACTGTAGAAACAGGAGATGAAAAGTCACTATATGCCATGGAGATAAATGTGTTTTATGGAATGTGGTTTGTCTGCTTTTATACAGATCACAGAATGGTGGGGTTGGAAGGGACCTCGAAAGATCATCCAGTCCAATCCCCCTGCCAGAGCAGGAACCTATATGAGATCACACAGGAAGGCGTCCAGGCGGGTTTTGAATGTCTCCAGAGAAGGAGACTCCACACCCTCCCTGGGCAGCCTGTCCCAGGGCTCTGGCACCCTCACTGTAAAGAAGTTTCTTCTCAAGTTTAAGTGGAACCTCCTGTGTTCCAGCTCACACCCATTGCCCCTTGTCCTGCCATTGGGCATCACTGAGGAGAGCCTGGCTCCATCCTCCTGACATTTGCCCTTTACATATTTATAAACATTAAGGTTATTTCATAATGCATCGAATTTTAAAGGATTTTCAGGAAAAAAAAATGAACTCTGACCTTCTGTCTCGAGTATCCCAGGTGAGAAAGCAGGTGTTCCTGCAGTTACCAGAGTTTCTGGCTGGACTCACAGATGCTCGCTTCCAAAGGCTTCTGGTACCTTGAGGGAGCGCAGGGCGGCAGCAGCGAGGAATGCTGTAGCTCTGAACGAGCAGTGCCAGCACGTTGTGTGGAAAGAGGATTTTTCCAGTGAGAGCTGTGTTCCTGCAGCAGTCTGCTTTTGCTGCAGGTGACAGTTAAGTCTCAGAGGCAGCAGACTGTTAGAGTACTCGTGCTGGAGCAGCTCCTTCAGGCACCGTGCTGCTCCGCTGTCACGACTGCGCACAGGCGTGGGGAGAGACTGTCGCTCTCCCAGTAATTTGCAGTTTAAACTGACAGAAGGGCGATGGAGATGGAGCAGTTTCTAGTCTTTGAAACTTTCAGTCTCAAGTTTGTAACCATTCAAAACTTCCAGTGTTACTTGAAAAAAGTGACCAAGTTCAAATACACTTTTTAAGAAATAACCTTTGGCTTTAATAAAATAAAAGTGAAGCTAAGGGGAGGTAAGGCAGGAGGAGCAGTGTAAACAGAAATACCGGAGTTTGGGTGAACCAGCTTCTTTCACCTTTCTGTAGCTCTTTATCAACAGCAAAGGTCACCTTTCTCTTCTCTCTTTCATCTCTTGCAGGAAGTCCAAGGGAAAGCCAAACGGTAAAAAGCCAGCACCGGAAGAGAAGAAACTTTACCTAGAGCCAGAATACACAAAATCCAGAATTACTGACTTTGAATTTAAGGAGCTAGTGATGTTACCACGAGAAATAGACCTCAACGAGTGGCTAGCCAGCAACAGTGAGTATTGTGATCGTGCTGCCCACACCCAAGAAGGCATCTGTTCACTCTGTTTCTTTTTACTGTTTTCAGTGCTTAGAAAAACACTCAATTACTATTTATGCTGACTGCATAATGCATGTCATTATACCTTGAATAGTAATTAAGCTGTCTCACACTCAAACCAACTGTGCTCAGCAGCAAGGAAGCCTCGTTGCAGTTCTTCCTTCCGACTCCCTCGCTGTGGCATTGAGAGCATTGGAGTTTCTGATGCTCTTTTGGGGACCATCAGATTCCCTTTGAGCATTTGCTAAACTGGCTGGTTCACCACATTTCTGACTCAATTGGTCTTCCACTGGGAAAATGGTTATTGAGACGTGTAGGTAAAGCAAATTACGCTTGAAGCCAGAAGTTTGGAAGTCTTTGGTTGGATTTCTTCTCCCTACTCCTTCCAAGCTGTGGTGGAATTACTGTCAATTTAAACTGTAGTCAGAACACAGAGACATGGCCAACTAGTGCGACTGAATGCTGTATCTGTGCATCTCAGTTCTGATTTACACCACTTCCCTGTGCTTCTGCTGCATCTGCCAGCCCTAACCTGCAGCTATGACCCAGTCTGCTTTGCATTTTCAGCAGTATGTGGTAGTAGCAAGAAATGACTTTAAACTGCACGCTAGGAAAGTTGATAGAGACGCATTAAAGAGAAGTGAGGTGCCCCTGAGGAGTATTAAGATGTTCAATTATCTCAGGAGATTTCTAAAAACCAGAAGTGTACTGGTTTTCATGCTATTTGGTTTAGTTTTTGTTTGTTTTGTTTTTAAAGGAGTTATGAAAACTATTAACGCTGTTTTCTAGCCACTGTACATTTTAAGTCTGACTTCAGAAGAACATAGCAAGTAGTTTGCCTTCAGCCTGCAGTAGAGTATTCTGCTGTAAAGGTGAGGCTGATGACGCAGACGCTTTCCAGTCTTGCTGCTTAGTGAGTAATAAGAGCTGATGCATCAGGGTGCTTTCATCTTCAATCAAAACAAGAGCTTTCATTCTGTGTACCTCTTTGTTTTGCAGTTCATCATTAGGCTCATTTAGCTAAATCATGTTTAAATTTGTATGCAAGCTCAAGACTCTGAGGTCACTTCACTTGCTCTAGTTAAATAATTGTCTGGAGGATAACCAGTGTTTGAAAGTATTTTACTTCTGAATTTCTTTCTTTTGTGTTTATTTTTCAGCAACAACTTTCTTTCATCACATCAACTTACAGTATAGCACAATCTCAGAGTTCTGTACAGGAGAGTCATGTCAGACCATGGCGGTGTGCAATACGTAAGTCCATATTTACAATCACAGGGTTTCCATGGAATCTCTGGAGTTGCCTGGGGAAGGATATTGGTATTAAATGGCATTGGGCAAGTGTTTCACAGCAGATCTCTCCTTAGTGAGACTGTGGCAACTGTCCATCCCCTTCTCTCCCCTCAGCAGTGAAGTGTGGTGGAAATCTGGTTTTGTGGAGGACAGAAGGATGAGAATCTTTGTTCTGAGCTGTTTTTTTTCGTAAGGTCAGATCAGAGAGGCAAATTACCCTGTGTACAGCCTGGGAGGAGAGGGGAAGAGCAGCGAGGCAGAACTGTCCTTACTGGTAACAGAGCTGGGATGCCATAGAAGGCCGGGGAGGATAAAGGAATTGCAAAAGCCTCAGAGGGTGCCTTGATAGCTGGAATGCTGACAGAGCAGCAGGCTGCTGACAGACAACCTCTAGCCTGACGTGAGCCACTGGCTTTCTGCCCGAGCCCCTGAGCACAGCGGACACAAGTGGCAGCTTTGCAAAGAGTAAGGAAAACGTTTTGGTTTGGCACTTTCCCCCTGTAGGACTTAGTAGACTTTTTTAACATTGCCTAGCTGTCACTTATGAAAGAAAGCTTTGTAGTTTGACTGTACATGGTGAACATAAGAAAAAGTTACCATAAACTCCTGCTCTTGATTAGCACAGTCCAACATGATGGAATATGAGATCCAGTTGAGTATGAATAAGCCTGTTGTGTTGTGGGCTTTTTTTTCCTCCAGCAGATGTGTTGATAGTCCTTTTCTTCCCTCCCCTTGCATTTCCTGGGATTAATTTAGTTGAGATGGATTTTAAAACAGAAGACTGAGCAGTTAATGCTGTAGTGCATCAAACAAACATCCCAGGGAATGCATGCAACAGAACCAGAGCAATATATTGTATCTCTGACGATAATTACGTAGTGCTCAGAGAGGAATCCCTGCTTACTGCATTGGGCTGTCTCATACACTTGAAATTAGTATCAGGGGCTTTCTCTGAGAGCACTCTGAAGAACCACAAAGTGTACAGAGGATATTTTGGCATGTAGAAGTTGGAAAGATAACTGTCAGTAGAGAATTAAAGGCCATGCTAAGGACTTTGAAAGCAGTCTGGAACAGAATGTAATAAATCTCTGCTGGACCCAGATTTTATCAAAAGGAGACAGCATGTCTCTAAATGAGTAATGGTGATCAGTAGGCTGAGTATTTTGTTGTCTCTTGCTCCCAAGCTTTCTGGTGTTTTAACTCCTGATGTAGTGCTGCCTGTCCTAAGGACTGAGTTTAACTGTTTATCCACTCTGCTGATGGGAAATAGTGGCTAAAAGGAGGAGGTGGTGGTAGGGAACCTGCCTACGTGTCGCTCCGTTCTGCTCTACTGAGCCTTAAACAAGAGTTGTCTGTAAGCAATTTATGTTGCAGAATAAAGAAAGGAAGTGCCTGTAGGCAGCTCCAGCTATAAGGCTATATTTTTAGTGGTGAGGACCGATAGCAGAATGTTCCTCCTATGCTTTGTTTTGGAAAACTGAGGAATTGTGCTATTTGGGAATAACAGGAAGCATGTCTACACTTGGGTGAAGCACTTGAAACGGTTTGTGTTTAGCTAAATCATAACAACTTCAGTATCTTCCTGTACTCGGGGGCAGATGAGTGATTCATGTTTGCAAACTGTAGGCTGCGTATTTCATTCTTCTATAAAGTGTGCAGGTCTATGAAAAACACAGAGAGGTGAGATCACCTAGCTCCACCCCTCAGTGCTGTTCAGCTTTGAAGGGCCTGTTCATAACTGTGTTCTACAAATACCTCCAGTGACAATTTTGCATAATCCTTGTGTTCTGCCTTTCCTAGCTCTTCCCTTTTGGGAGAGTTATGTCCAAATGGAACATGGAGAACTGCCTCTCAGATGCTCGTTTGTTCATATCCAGTTATGACAAAGCCACGTGTCACTTCCCCACCCCTCTTTTTAAAAAAAAAATAATCTTACCTTAACGAAGTACGGTAAGGGCATGCTCATTGTGTTGAAGAAACACCACTTGATATGATTTATTGTGCCTCTGACCTGTCTCCAGCATATAGAGTATCACTCAAACATTATTAGACTCAGTTGCTGATTAACCTGATGAACACTCCAGATTTGATCTTCTGTGGCTGTGGTCTGTTTGTTCAGGTACTTTGGAATAAAACAGCATTTACCTTTATTAGATTGCCACAGAAGTACAGTACCTTGGAAGAAGGGTGCTATGTTTTCCAGTGCTGAGTTCTTAAGTAGTTCAGTAGAAGGTCTGCGTTCTGTTCCTTGTCTGTGTTTTCCTTGCCCAGTTCTCTGAGGTGTGTTTTGGATCACACCATTCTGGTCATGCCTAAGGAAGATTTTTGTATTTATGGCTGAGATGTTAAAGTAACTATTGAGAACAGGTTGCTTGCTGAGTTACTTTGCTTTCCAATGCACTGCAAATACTCAATCCTAAATTTAGAGGATTTGCTGGCAAAATAAACACCCGTTGCAGTTAACTAGTTGAGGAAAGGTTTAAACATCTCGGAGAAGCTCCAGCCAGCTGCCAGACTGCAGACAGATGCAGGTTTCAGATACATGAGATAGCAGGGCCATCTGCACACAATGAGGAGAGCATTTCTGCTTGGGGTTGCTAAGAGACCTGACCAAAACTTAAATCTCCTTGTAGAACAGATGCAAGCACTTGTTGGCAAGGTGGGACAATGCCAAGAGAAATACCAGAATGGTCAGTTAATAAGGGTGGCATGAATGTAACTGGGAATTAATTTTGCTTAGTAATATGTTTGTCACTTGTTGTAAAGCAGGTACTGTATTTTTAACACAGTATTTACTGTTGAGATTTAGTATGCTTTATAGCTTATTATTACACAAATGAGCTGTAAAGCACTATGAGCTGTGAACTGGTTTTCTAGCTGACACTTGAGCAAAACTTCTCAAAAGTGCTGAAGTGGGTGGAGAAGCTACAAACTGATAACAGTGGTGTTCATGAGGCTGAGACTACAGAACTCCTGAGGCAGAAATCAGGGATGGATGCAAACTTTTAGGCAGCCCACAGATAAGAGTGAAAGGTCTCATTTTTGTCCAGTGAAATCCCTTAATTGGTAATTCCTTATCACTCATTTTTTCTAATCTTACGATCTCCTCTCTCATCTCTACGCTGCCTTTAGCGTCTCTGCATATGGAGGGAATTTCCTTTCTGAAATCTCAACTCAAACTTGCATGTTTTGCATTCTCTTATATTTAAGTTCCCTCAGCTGTATGCTTCTACATGGGGGCTCCTTTCTCTTTTTTTCTGCCCATCTAACCATTGCTTTGCCCCTGTCAAACCACCGAAGCTGTTCTGAGTTGCTGCCAAGCACTCTGTTCCTGCCCTTGCTTTGATACGATTCGTTAGGCTGCTCTCTTCATAACCCACCCTTTGGTTTTTCTAGCAGGACTCTCTCCTTCCCTTCCAGCCTGCATAATCTCCACAGCATTTGCTTTTCCCTCCTTCCAGAAGCTTTTCTTAAATACTGACATCACTTCTGTTCTGCCTCAGCTCCTATGGCATCAGCACAAACCCAGTGTTTTAGAGGCAAAGGGGTAAAATATGTACCTGTATTAAGATGCAGCACTGTGACTTCATGTGTGTTATACTTTATTATTTGCATCGTATGCTTCTTTCTGTTCAACTCATAGTTCATATCTCCTTGGGATTTTGAATGGAGCTGCAAATTCCTCATGCTCCCCATTCTGGGGAAGTTTAAATCTGCCAGAATTTTACATAGGAAATAAAATAATTAAAATCTGTATCATGTGAGCACTTTTTGAAAGGTGCTGTTAAGTGCTGTCGTCTTGTCCTTTCTGCTTCCCATCCATTGCCTAATACGGGACCGTACTGTCACCGTGCCAGTGGTGGAATGCAGCTTGGCTGCTGTGCCCAACCAAGCCCTTTGATGGCCCCAACCTGCTTCCCATCTCCTGAAGGGAGATAACTCCAGAGCCCTTTGATGGCCCCAGCCTGCTTCCCATCTCCTCAAGGGAGGTAACTCCAGCACGGGTGGGAGCTGCGTACCAGGTGTGAGATGTTCATGGCATGTCAGGGGCTCCTCTCTCCCTCCAGGACCTGTCAAGACTGTTCACAGCACCTGAAACATGAGGAAGACATATGATTCTAATCAACAGCACAATCCTTGTAGTTATCCCCTTATTCTTAATGATTCTTCTTTGAAATTCCTATTTTGCATAATTAGCCTAATTTTCAAGGAAAGGCAAAAAGGGTATGCAGTGGGCTGTTACAGGAGATTTATTCCCTTATATTTTCATGTAAGTGAACTTGTAAAGTTGCCAAACTGTTTCTTTTAACTAAAATCCAATTATTCAGATTCATTTTTGTGCCTAAGGGTGACTCTAAACTATGCTTTTCTATCTTGCAGTTGAGGATTTCTGCAGCATGAGAAAACTGCTGAGGTACAGTCAGTCCAGTCTGCTGCTGCTCTTGGCAACAAGCATTGTCTTAATTAAGACCCAAAATAAGTTTGAGTTGCCTAGAACTGTCTTGCTGCAGCTTACTGCAGGACTGGATAAATGAGGTGACTTGTGTTGTGCAATTCCTTATGTGGATTGTATAAAGGAAGTAAGCAGTGATGAGGAACTGCAGTCTGTGGCCCAAATGCTACTGCTGATGCCTGACATAGCTCTCTGTAAAGAGCTTTTAACTCCTCCTGTTTCATCCACTTGCTCACCTTTTTATGCCCTTTTACAGTCAATCCTGCTCTCTCCAGTAAACAGCAGAGTGACCAAGCACCACATGCTGAAAATGAGCAGAAAAAATATTTCTAAACCTTCAGTGTCTGCAGAACTAGTTTTCAGTTGCATTTCCTCTCCTGAAGTCTGAAGTACTCTACTTATTTCTGCAGCTTCCTCTTGTGTTCCTATGTCTTGGGGCATGAACAGTGTCATTAGTGTCTTCACCTCACTACCCTCAGGTCCCTGAAGAATCTTTCCGGGCAATGAGAACACATTGTAAATTAAAACATGTCATTTGCTACTTAACATTTTTCTTTAGTTGCTTCAGGACTGTGTTACTGGTCAGTACATGTAAATCTTCACTTCCTAAAGGGCACGTGTAGATCCTTGCAGCTCAATGCAGTCTAGTCCTGCTAGGTGCAGAAAAAACATTTAATCATCTTTATCTGCCATAAAAAAAATATGAATAATGAAAATGAACCCATAATGATATGGGGCTGCACCTGGAGCTTAGACTGTTTCAAGGAAGAATTCAGGAACTGGAACTCAAAACACTTCTAATGTGATACAGGCAAAAATAAAAAGTGTTTTGCCAAATTCCTTATCTGCAAAACTTTTCTCACTGAGTGTGCCTAATGCAGTGGATTGCTGCTCCTGGTAACAGTCAGAGGTGCTTTAATTAACCATGACTTAAAGAACAACAACAAAAAAAAAGAGGAACAAACCCTCAGTGCTTTTGTAGCCTTCAGATTCCTCCATCAGGTGAGGGATGGCTGCAGGTAATCAGGATGATGATTATGGCCAACTGATTGAACACTGGTTGCTTTTGAAGAGCCAGGCAACATGCTAATGCCTCCTGTTCCTTAAGATCCAACAGGATTATTCATTGGTGGGAGAGTCAGTGTAAATTCAGATGTTTTGGGGAGTCTGTAACCAAAGGAGCAGAGTTCTAAGACCTGCTGGTAGGGATGCACAGAAGGGGCCTGAAAACTTTTCCCCAGACTGGATTTTATAACATGATTTGTAGAGCTTGAATTGCTGCCAGTGCTCCAGAGCAGCAGCTTGGAAAAGGTGGTGTTTGGGAGCCACCTTCTGTCTGGTTAATTACACTACAGGACTAATTCATGTTTTGTGATGTGAAGCCTCATCAGGGATCCCCAGTTTATCACTGTGCAATGTTGTTGCCCTTTAAAAACAGTTCTACAATGCTATCCTAGACTGTAAGGAAACCCTCAGTCTGTCACTGGTAGGGAGAAACAAAATCGACTAACAGAAATTCAAGGGTTTTGATGTAGAAAGAGATTCTGAAGTGAATCTCTTCTGCAGCAGCTATGATGTATTTTGGTGATGTTACAGCTGTTGTTTTATGTTCCTTAGACACTAACCTCGTAGAGGAGGAGCCCAGGTATAACGTGGTGACACTGTCAATTCTCTCCACAGACAGTACTACTGGTATGATGAACGGGGAAAGAAGATCAAGTGCACTGCTCCTCAGTACGTGGACTTTGTCATGAGCTCAGTGCAGAAACTAGTGACAGATGAGGACGTCTTTCCCACAAAATATGGTACGTCTGCTTCTGGACAAGGTGAAGGTTGGCATTCAGCACACTGATTAATACCAGAGCTTTCTCACCTCTTTGTTTGATGTCTTGTTTGTTGTTGTTGCTGGGGGGTGTGTTGTTGGTGGTTTTTGTTTGTTTTTAAGAGAGATGTTAAGTTTGGTTCATTCTTGCAGTAAGAAAAACTTGCACTGTGGGCACATGAACTGGGGTGAAAGGCTCACAGTCCTGTCCCCTTGGCTTATGTTTCATCATTGCTACATCTTTTTCTTCAAGCATTATGAGATCTTCTAGCCTGTTATCAGAGGGGATAAAAACAGGAAACTGTCAGCATGCATGTGTTCAATACATCCTGCTGCTAGTAAAATTCAACCTTCTTGTTGTTTTACTATTTCCTTTAGAGCTCTGATGCATTAAGGGGGAAATAAATTGGATTGCCAGGAATGTGGCTTGTCTTCCTTTCCAACCAGGCCTTGTCTTGGAGATTGTCTGCAGTCTCCCTTCCCTTCCAAAGATTAAATAAGAATGCAGCTTTTAAGAATGAAAAAGCAATAGGATATTTACTCAAATTTGTATCATAGAATCATAGAATGGTTTGGGTTGGAAGGGACCTTAAAGCTCATCCAGTCCCAACTCCCCTGCCATCAGCAGGGACACCTTCCACTAGACCAGGTTGCTCAAAGCCTCATCCAGCCTGGCCTTGAACACTTCCAGGGAGGGGGCATCCACAACTTCCTAGCGAGTATCCTAGCAAGATTGCTACATACAATGCCTTTGGTTAAGAGGAAAAAAATAGAGACCTGACGTTATGGTAGGTGGGCTTAATCATGACTAAAAGCCACTGGAGTTTTGAGCCCCTTCAACAGATAACTGGGGAACAAGATCATTACAACAGAGCAAATGTTAAGCTAGAGGCAGTGTCTAGTACTCCAGCTGACCTTTTTTTATTTAATATGCTTGTTGAAGGGCAACAAGGCCTTTTGTACACGTGATTAGTCTGTGTGGCCAAGGTGTGCTTCAGACCAGTAACGTACCTCATGTTGTGCATCACACGCAGGATGGCAGGTGTTGCTTTTCTGCTTGCCTCAGTTTCACTTTCAGAGTTACCAAAGTAGTAGTCCAATAATCTCTCACTGTGCAGGCACAGTTCTGCTCTGGCAAGCACAATTTCACCTGCAGCTGATAGAAGACACCCAGTATTTCCTTCCATTTCTTTTCCCATTTGATAGAATTTCAACAATGACATGAGGGAAATGGTTATATACAGTGAGTCAAACTGCTGCATGCTCCCAAGGCCCGTGTACCTCAGCTTCCATTTCCAGACCTGTGAAGTGGTCTCCCAAGCATTATGTACTTCCAGGGGAAAAAAAACCCTGTCACTAGATAGTGACCCAGAAGAACCTCTCATTTTTACAGCCAGTAACAAAAGATGTTGTGGTTTTATTACACTTACTTCCTGATTTTTGAACCCTTAGGGACTGAAACTTAATTTCAAATGAAGATTCTTAAAACCTCCTTAGATTCTTCCCCTGAGCTTCTGTAAAAAGAACAAGATGAGAGGATGATACAGGGCCACAAGGTGTCTGCTGGTTGCTCTCAGCCCCAACAAATGCTGCTGTGGGTCTGAGGGGAACAGCTGGAGCTATCATGGTGTTTCTCTGTCTTCCTTCCAGGCAAAGAATTCCCCAACTCGTTTGAGTCCCTAGTGAAGAAGATCTGCAAGTACCTGTTCCATGTGCTGGCCCATATCTACTCCTCACACTTTAAGGAGACTTTGGCACTGGAGCTGCACGGACATTTAAACACACTCTACACACACTTTATCCTATTCATCAGGGAGTTCAACCTCGTGGACCCTAAAGAGACCACCATCATGGACGACCTCACAGAGGTCCTCTGCAGCAGCAGCAGCAGCGGGAGCAGCAGTAACGGGAGCAGCAACAGCGCAGGAGCACAGAACCACGTGAAAGAGAGATGAGTCTTCCTCCAGGATCAAAACTAACATTAAAAACAATATTATCTATTCTGTGTGTATGTATATGTTCAGATATACATACAGACATATACAGCAGTGAAAGCAGAAAGAAATGCTGCCACCACACCACGGGACGCGGACCGTACGGGACTGTACGGAGCTTTGGTTTAACACGCCGCCTGGCGAGAAGTTGCACCAATGTTATTTTATTTTATTTCCTGTCCACTCCTCCTATCACCTATTCAGCTGGATGACGAGTGCTGTTTTTAGAGAAGAGCCAAGCTTGAGAGTGAGGCCACTCTTTGGGTGGGGTGGTTTTTTTTGTTGTTGTTGTTGGGTTGTTTTGTTTTGTTTGGTTGGTTGATTGGTTGGGTTTTTTTGTTTTTCTTTCTTTGGTCTTGAGTGCAAGCCCTTTGTCTTTCTAGGATGGTGGTCCTGCCATTTAAAAAAATATCTATTATAATATAAGAAGTGACTTTTCCTTTGAAGTGGCTTAAAATGCAGGTTTGTTTGGGGTTTTTTTTTGGGGGGG